TTGAAGAAATAATAATTTGTCTCGGGTGCGCATTCGCCAAAACATAAAATACAATTTTCTTTTCCTCATACCTATTTATTCAAACTGTTAACCCTGTTGCAAATTTTGATTTCATATTGTCCGTTTGATCTCTGTACAGGGACGTTTCCCTTATGAACACTTAATTTACTGACTGCATACATGAACGGTTAATTTCAATGGATTTTTGATGTATAAAACATAGTGATGGGCATAGTCGGATGATTTCAATAATCGGATCCTACCGATTCGATTATTCCATTAATCGGATGATAATTCGAATTCATTTTATTCGGTGTAGCCGACCATGTTAAAATAACTTCTCGATTCTAGCGACTATAATAATCATATGAATTATGAATTATTAGGAATTCAAATTAACTTTAATGCAGTTTGGAGCATCGCGCTATAATATAACTCGTGTCGACACTAGTGATATAAAGAACGTATTCATTATAGGGAGATAAAGGCAATAAAGTTATGTTATTAGAGGTGAAGTTCGCCTGAGTTAGCGTACTAGGTAGCCTACACTGCACGGCGCAGACGTACGCACCGATTGCTGACACCGAGAGTCGAGATAAAATCATTCAATTCGAAATTTGACCGATTCGGCGATTCGATTATTTTGTTTCGATTTCATTCGTTCTGTAATCAGAATTTAGTATTTGTATTTCATAATTTATGGCCTGTATTTTTAGTTATTTTTCGACTACTTTTAATTCGAATTACGGAACAAATAATTGGATTACAGGTTATTTTTACGAATTATCCCATTGCTAATAAAACATGCCCTAATTGCAAGAGCATGTAGATTAGATTTAAGCTGATCTAATAGTTGAACTGGTCGTGGCAATAGTTATTTTTAGCCATTACTGTGAGGCCGGCTGCTAAACGGTTTATTTCAATTAATTCTTCCTTAGGTATTTTCCAAATATTTTGGAAAAATTCTGAGAATTGCATTAAATTTTCTCTATTGGTTCCTTTTTTTAACATAAGTCGTGAGTAAACGAAACGAGACACATCCCTCATCTCGTCTTGTTTCGACAGGATCTAATAGACAGTCGTCTCTCGACGCCGCTGAAGTGGATCAAGCGAGAACTACATTTATTTTTTATTTAAGAGCACAATCGAGTAAAAGCCCCATAGGGTCACACCATATACATAATTTGTAATATATTTTTTCTTATCATTTATTTAATGTCGGTCTGTTTCCGCTACCAAGGCCAATCACCAACGCCAGGAGATGAGCTACCACCAACCTGGAAGTTTCGTTGAACAGTAGGAAACTTTTACTTTCCTAAAATCTTATAGACAAGGGACCGTCTGCTTTACATCCCCTCCGAATGATGGTATATTCACTATACAATACTCGCATTGCATAGCTTTAGCGTTTTAAGCTGACAACAAGCTGCTAGAAGATGGGCGAGACTGCTGTATTTTGCTGGTCCGGTGGGATATTTAATGTACCTGATATATTGTTTAATTGTATTAAAGTTTCACAGGAATTTCGCTTATAATTTCAACACTATTTCTTAAAACAGTATTATAAACAATAAAATATATTTTAGGGTAGAAAATCGTATTTTTTAATTATTAAAATATCTTGTAATAAAATTCTTCTATATTTATCGACAATTTATGTGGTACTCGAAACCAGTTTAATATTGGATTGGAATTTCATATTTTAAGATACATTTTAAGGAGATGATCAACAAAAATATTCAAAATTATAAATTTACCATTTACAATATTAATTTAACAGGAATGCTATTAAAATATGAAACATGACGAAGTAATATAAAATTAAACAGCAAGCAATAGAAAATTTACATGAAAGTTGTGTTCTTAATTAACAAGCCAAATTTGTACTTCAATTTTTTTGAGAATTTTAACCATTCTTCTAAATAGTATGTCCTATTCACTATTTAAATAGTTTTCATAGTTATGAATTAAACTGTGTTAGACAGTATTAATTTTACTACCAATGTATTTTTATATAAAACTATACGCGGTGTTCAATTTAAGGCGTCTCTCTTTGTACGTTATTTTGAGCTGTTTAAAATTGAATATTAAAATTTTTTAATACGCCTGTTTGGATGATTTTTTCTGTAGATTCCAAACATTCCTGAATGATACATAAATGGCACCTAACTGACACATAAATGGGCAGTAAACATACCCTCATTTTTTTTTAAAATCGAACACGATATACATGGTGCATCACAGTGAGTGGCCTATTAGGAATTAGGTTTTTGTGAGTGGGTCCCTGTGGACTCTCCACTGCGGCCATCAGCAGGCCTATCGTGGCTCACTCCTAGTTGTATTTCACCCAATAAGTTCTGACTCTTAATGAAACTGATAACTTATTGGGTGAGAATGTGTCCAGATCCCTTGGCAGCAGTTGTGCTTTGTCAAATATTGAGAATGATAGTCTAGTTTAGTTGGCAGTGCCCGCCTGTTGGAGTTTTCAGGTTTACACTGTTTAACTCTAATAATTTCTTAGCTCTCGATTTCAAAGGGTATTTTATAAACGCCTTCGAATGAACTAATCTGGGTAACTCTTGCCAATACTGGAGAGTTTTTCCATTCAACCCAGGTTGTAACAGCCATCTTAACAATACTTGAACATATTTCAAGTATCGGTTCTGGTCCGATAATTCGTGATCCCGCTCCTTCTCTAACCATGGAGTCGGTTATATCAATACCTTCCATACCAGAGTGGCCGGATATCCAGACCAGAGTTACTTCGTTGTTTTTTCTCAATTGATTTCGAGCCTTCTGACAGTTCCATACCGTTTTGGAGTTACACCGATAGGAGCCAACAGCTTTTATAGCTGCTTGGCTATCTGAGAAAATTTTTATTGATCTACGTGTAAGATGTATATATTCCAGCCTTCGTACACACAGTTCAATGGCATGAATCTTGCTTTGAAAAACAGTTGCATTAGTACCTAGGCTTGAGAATATTCTCACCCTTGGTCTGTAGCTATGTACTCCGGCTCCTGTTCCCTCGGGTGTTCTGGAGCTGTCTGTAAACTAACAACTGTCTGCCCTCAGTAGGTCAGCTTTATTTCTATCCCACTCATCTCTTTCCGTAGAAACGATGTTGATGGTCAAGTCGTAGTTAGTCATGGTAGGCATAGAATCCGAGGGCATTTCCAGAATGCTGTGATTCTCTATGTCATCTAGCAATCTGTTCCGCTCCATGATACTAGTCTGCGGTATATTAATGGCCACTTGTTGCAGTCTGTAGGTTGCCCACCTAGCCTTCTCTTCAAATATATGTAAAGATGAGGTAAATCAAGGAGTATTTCCATTGCAGCTGACAGTGTGGTGCTAATTGCCCTCCTTCCGGTCATGCATGCTAATTTCTTCAATCCAGAGAGTTTGGCTTTGGCCGTCCGTTGTGATTTTTTCGGCCACCAAACAATGTATCCGTACGTTATCATTGGTCTGATGGCCGTGACATAGATCCAGTAAATTTGTTGGGGACCTATGCTCCAGGATTAGCCCCAAATACGACGGCATGTCCATAAGGACCGCTTTGCTTTGTGGATTACGTTTTCCAGATGACAGTTCCAATTAAGTAGTCTATCTAGATTGACTCCTAGATATTTCACCTCCTCCGCAAATGAAATAGTTTCACCTATTAAGGAGGGCGGTCTTAATTCCTCCAGCTTCCTTTCCCAGGTGAATGGTACTATTACTGTTTTTTGAGGGTTTACAGACATATGTTCCCTGTCACAAAAGTTACTCACTGCATCCAGTATCTCTTGAAGGGTATTCGATATTACTTCTTCAAAGATTCCTCTGATTAGTATGACTAGGTCTTCTGCATATGTTAGAACCTTAACCTTTCACAGTGTGAGAATAGCCAGTCCACAAGAAGTGACAACAAAAGGGAGGGCGAGAACCCCACCCTACGGGCATCCTCTTGTGGCTCTAAAGCTAACTGTTTCTCCCTGCAGGGACGTTGTTATGGTTCTGTTTGATAGCATAGCACGAATCAAGTCGCCGATTGTCGACTCAATTCCTCTGGCAGCCACTGCTACCTAAAGGAGTCGGGCAGTGCATTATTGAATGCTCTCTCAATGTCAAGAAAAGCTCCCACCGTAATTTCGTTCATTTGAAGGGACTGGGTGATCTTCTCGACTAGGTTGTTGAGTGGCCAGTTAGACAGTTTCGAGAAACTTCAAATAATTTCTAACTAAAAATTTTCACATAGAAGTTTTCAGGGGTGCTCTATTTAATGAGAATAATGCCACGTATCGTACCGGAAGTCGGCACCAACTTCCTTGTTTTAAATTGCATACTTGTTTTAAAAATATTTTAAATAATATGAAAAATTGATAAAAATATTAAAGAAACTGACAAGCACATCCTTTAAATTATTGACTGCTCGAAATGCTCCCCATTAACATATAAACATTTTAATATTCGGGTCATAACATCACTAGTGGTTGCTTGCCGAACTAGTTCTTCAGAAGCCCTATTTACTCTGATTTCTGATTCTTGTCGTGTATTTACAGGCGTCTCATCCACTTTGCTTTTCATCTTTCCCCAAAGATAGAGATCAAGCGTGGTAAGATCTGGACTTCTAGCGGGCCATGTCCAGAGGCCGTGTCGTCTAATTCAACTATCTTCAAACATATCGTCTAGTATGTTTAATATATCACGTGTACAGTAAGAAGGAGCTCCGTCTAGTTGTTACCAACAATTTCCATATTCTAGTAGTGGCAAATGATCCAAAAAAAATCGGTCACTATTGTTCTTAATATCTTCATAAAATACTGAGAAGGTGCCATCGTAAATATGGTAATAAGTATTTAATAAACAAAACACATTAAAACTAAATTTTTCCTGGAGTCCTCTTTCCTTTACTGCGTGAGTGTTTTGATTTGCTCGAATAAGACAGTTACATCTGTTAAATATTCCTTTCCAACAAAACTTCAACTCATCTCTCTCTCTTTCTCTCTCTTATGTGGCTAAGTGGTCGAGTGGTAAGAACACTTGCCTCTCGCCCTGGAGGCCCGGGTTCGAACCCCGGTCAACTAGCTAGGATTTATTCTAAACCAGAAATTAATCCTAGCATACTCGGGCATTGAGTGTGTGTTCATTGTCTCTAAATGTGTAGTCCTCTTCCACACAAGGTACCATGAGGTCCCTTCAGGGATACAGGGGGTTGTATTACCTGTGGTGTTTAAAAAAAAATCTGTCTAGATAATTTTTAAAAAAAAAAGGCATTATCTCCTTGAATCAGGGTTAAAATCATTTCACAAAACTGAACTCTATTACCAGCATCTCTTGAATGCAGAGTTTGTACTTTAGTAAATTTATAATTGTGCATTTTTGCTTCCACAAAATTCTTTCTATAGAGGAAGGAGAAATACCTATGTCATACGCTGCGGTTTAAATAGAAGCTTATGGATATGCTTCGAAATATGCCAGGACAGTTATTTGGTTATCTTCATTTTCAGTAACTGGACTGGAACTTATTTTTATGGCTTTAAAAGCGACGGACTCTAAGAAATTAGCTTTAACTCTTATAAATTTCTTTCATTCAAAAGTAGCAGATTAGTTCGAATATATCTAATAGGCCACTCGCCGTAATGCACCCTGTATGTTTTTACAAATTGAGATAGAGCTTGTAAGTCTCTTTTCAAATATACTATGTGTTAGCTTCAAAAGTTTTAATAGTTTGAATAAAATAATATATTTGTTCTAAGTTTTGGCGAATGCGCAGGTGATACAGATTACTATTTCTTCGAGAAATATGCTGGAACACATAGCTGCAGAAATGCCGTGGACAGTATATTTATTTTTAATACAAGTGTACATTAAATGGAAATTAATAATTAATCTGTTGGTTCTAGATTAGAGAATATCTGGAAATGGGTTTTATTCATTGAATGTATTTTTGCCCAATTATAATTTTTTCCTTCGAATTTTTCTTACAGTTGTTTGATTGAGTATTTGTTGAAACAATATGTTAAAACCATTACTCATTTCGTTTTAATTTGTCAAAATAGATTGTAGTATGTGTTGTTTTCATACTTTTATTTATTTCAAATTACTATTTTGTTGCGTTAGAAAAAATTGTGTATATTATGTTGCTTTTAAGTTATGTTTTGTTTACTTATGAACGAATAGGTACTACATGTGATATTTACATAAAAAGGTAATTATACAGGGTGTTCAAGAAAACAGAAATTTATATTTACAAATTTGCACCGGGTGTAAAATCTTTATTATCTTAGATACAGAGAAAAGCTTAATACGAAAGTTGTTAATAATAATAATATCATCTTTATTTTTGGTTTATACACTAACATTTGTATGATGTACATTCAAGATTACTTAATAATATTGAATTATGTTTAATTACATGTATAATTTATTAAAAAGGGAGTTTTACCTAAATTGTAGAAACAATGTGTGTATGAAACCCCCCTCTTTTAAGTGAGAAGATGACTTTTGAGCCGTAGAGATATATAGTCAATAGGAGTATTATGGCAGGGTTACAATATTCTTTTAAATAATGTTTTTTATTTTATTGACATTCGACAGGGAGAACTAGAAAGAATATTGAGATTAATATAGTTTTTCAATTGTTTAATACTTGCAAAAATGGAACACTGTTTTTGAGAATGTAGGCTTTCGTTTCTATTTTACATTTTTTATGGTTATATAATAAACATAATATGGAGAGAGGTAATACATTGTAACATTTTGGTGCATAATAGGTAATAAATCTTTGACAAATCGAGCTGTTACAGAGTGGTATTTACAACAATTCATTGATGTTACTCCTTGTTTGATGATTGTGAAAGACGACTGGACATACTTGCCAGATTTTGTTTATATAATTTAGACAACAGTAGATGTATAACTTTGTAATATTTAATATATCATTATCTTCATAGAGTGGAACAGTGGAATACATACGTCCTTTTTTAAAAATTATTTTTTAAAATGGTGTTTTGACAGACAGATTTCTTATAGCATTATTTTACAGGCTTCCCCAGATAATAATACAATATCGTATTATAGACTCAACCAAAGCGGTATATAATATTTTTATTAAATTTCTATTCAGAATGTCTCTTACCTGATAAAAATTGTAGTACAGCTTTCTTATTTTAGTATTTAAGTAATCAGCATGTTCGTTCCACCGCAAATGTTGATCAATAATTACTCCTAAATACTTTATTTTATGTACTTTATCTATTGTTGAACACTTACATTCATTTTTGTTATTATATATTTTTTATCAATATTGAGGTTATTTCGTCTTCACCAGGAGCTGAATTATTTTTTAGTGTTCCAATATGTATGATAAGGGCATTTTCAGTTATATGATTTAAAAAATGAGAATCCTTGTTCTGTTTTTTTTTTTTGGTGAGAATGTTTTATTTATTTCTGTTATTTTACTTTTCATTTCTGAGCCAATGTTTATAAAAAAGTCATTAAATATATTAGATTTTACTTCATCATTTGTTATTTAGTTAACTTGGTCATCTGTAATATCAATATTTTTTTTACATTTGTTTTTTGTGTTCTTGTTATAGTGTTTCCAATATGAATTGGAACAGCATAAAAACGCCAACAACGGGAATTTAGTCATATCCATGAGCGTCGACCAAAAAGGTTTAAAATTATCTTTAGATTCTTTAAAATAAATCGAATATTTTTTTTACTATTTTATATGTTTATTTATATGTACAACACCTATAATAAACTTTTCATTTATATACTTACTTGTTTATTTATTTATATTAGTTGAATAAGCAATTTTGATGATTGAATAAAAGTGAAGAATCTTACTCACTTAGTGAATGATATTTTCTACAAACTGTAGAAATTGATATTAAGTCTTGTATAAAATATCACCATCCGGCAAAAACCAACATGGAGGTGTGAGTATTTTTTGCCAGGATAGGATAGGAATATGAAAGGTGTTAGTATGATGGAATGTTAGAATTAAATTAGAATTAAATAACTTTTTCAAATAAAATATAACACAACAAATAAAACAAAAAGAAAGAAATAAATAAATATTTGCATTTTGGTAAAAACTAAAAAAATCAACTCTATAATCTCTTCAACCGTTCATCGACTGAACGTAAAAAGGTTTAAACAAAAATGCTGCATGGCAATTGAATCACAAAAAACGAGAAATAATTATTTAAAATCCGGATAATCACGCAATTATTTCTATAGTTGGTACTTTATTTTTCTCATTGAAACTATAAACCGTTCCCCGAATAACGTCTTTCGAGGTATCGTCAATTCTACAAAATTTTCGTTTTTTTCCTTTCCGCTTTGTAGAATGATCTATAATATCCCGTTCCTTAATAATACGATAAATCGTAGAAGTCGAAAGTTTAGTTAATTCATGAATTCTATTTACGATGTCTGTCGTTTCAATATTTTTTCTCTTTAAACATTCATAAATATTTAAAATAAGACTGACATTGAACATGTAAATCCTTGTTCTTATTAAACTCCGAAATAGTTTCAATTAACGGCGCCACCGGTTCATTATTTTCTTCAGATAATTCATTTTCATGCGTTTCAAAGGGCCTCCAAGAAGCCATGTTAATAATAATAATTAATGCAAATATTGAAATATTAATGAAACCACTTAATAAGATCACTAAAATGCTATAAATACCTCACATAAAATAATTCTATTATCCAAAATTATTACATGAACTGCACTGTACGGTCAATATAAACAACTAGTCCAGTAGTCTATTCAAATCACGACTTAATTCGTCAGAGTTCTGACACTACCGCCCGAGTTTCACATCTGGTCCGCTGCATTTCCACATTCTCATATCGAATGTAATGTAGAGGTATCGTTCAATAAATACAAGCACGATTGGCGCTCTATTTCTTTGACGCTGAGAGTGGAAATGCGCCCTCCTGGTATAAACATTTTAAACTGAAGTGTTTCAATTCATATTGGATAAACTATACCTCATTTACTATGTCCCAAATTTGTTTACAATTTTCATTTGCCTCTTGTATTTTTATTTTATAATATTTTTGCCTCTTTTATTAGTCCGTTAAGCATATTTCGATACCTTTTATATTTAATATTTTTATTGACAGTAAAATTTTTTATTAATTTTTTTTTCATTTTATCCCTAAATCCAATTGATTTAATTATACCCGTTGTAACCCATGGTTTTCGTTTTCTTACATTATAGTTAATTTTTACATTTTTTGTAGATAATTCAATATATTGTTTCAGTTTGTTTTTAAATATTGAGTATGATTCTTCAATGTCATTATTATTTGTTACGTCTTTCCACAGTTCATTTGATAACAATTCATTTATCTTTCCATAATCAATTACATTTATACATTGAGGTTTTTCTAATGGTTTTTCAATTTTGCCTATGTTATGGATAGATAAAGCTATTGTATAGTGGTCAATTAAACTTGTTTGGAATATAATTGGTTTAATGTCCAGTAGTCTTTCATTCAATTTTGTAAGTATATGATCTATAGTACTTGAGGAGGTCTCAGTCTCTCTTGAAAGTTTATTTATGCACGGGAAATATCCGTTTTTTTCAAATAATATATTTAAATAACTTTACTTCAAGGTTATCTTTATTTAATATATTTATATTTAAATCCCCTACGAATACTTCCATATCTTTCGTTTGTAGATTTATAATGTATTTCTTAACTCGCTTAAAAACAGATTAATATTTGTTGAAGAGGGCCTATAACAACCTGTAATCCCAAGCTGAATATTGTCATCTAATTGTAAGATGCAACGTAATAAATTAATTTGATTAAATTTAATAATCTCCGTTTTTACTGTGATATTATCTCTTATGTAAATTCCTAATCTATCAATTTTATTATAATTTAATTTATTATAAAATAGATTAAAACCATTAATATGGAAATTAATTACCTCCCCCAAATTAAAAGTTTCTGATAATACAAGTAAGTCAATATTTTTTTACGTTAATAGTATCTAAGTATATCAATAAATTCCTCAAAGTTCTTTCTTAGATTTCTTATATTTAACTGAAATAT